TCCCACACACACACACACACACACACACACACACACAGATAGGCCTGCAGGAGCCAAAGGCCAGGCACTGCTTGGGGCCCCATGTACACACTGCATCCTTCTGGGCAGTCCCCCTGCCCCTCACCTCCAGGCACAGGCTGGTGAGAGAAGCCTAGGCTGACAGAGGCTCCCATTCCTCCTCAGCTACCAAAGTGCATTCCAGAGCCTGAGCGTACGTGGGGCCTGGTTGCAGCCAGCCAGAACGCCGCCTGCCCCACCCATAAACTCGGGTTCCAGGGAGATTAGCTACATCTGAGGACACCCCCCTGCAGCCAGGCACACCTCCTGGGATGCAGATTGCTGCAAAGGGAACCTGCTGAGTCTAAGCCGCTTTGGCGCCTGCCCTCGTGGTGCCTCGGGGAGTCGGCTGCTCTGCCCTGGACACTTCCCTGGCTCCGTCGCCTTCACAAGTTACGAAAATATCGCCGGCTACTGTTTACTGAGGGCCTTCTGTATCCCCGCACCGTGTACGCACCTTCCAGGCATAATCTCACTTAATCCTCACAACTCTATGAGGGAGGGATAATGATTAACGTCAGAGCAGCTTGGAACTGAATCCTGGCTCAGTAATGATGTGAACTCAGCAGGTTCTTTTATGGCTCCATGCCTCAGTTTCCCCATCTGCAAAATAGGAGAATAATAGCACCTACCTCACGGGCCTGCTGTGAAGATTTATTTTGTTACTATATCCCAAAACCCTTAGAACAGTGTCTGGCACATGGGAAGTATTTGTAAACATTAGCTGTTTTCCGTTCTAATATTATGCCCATTTTACAGATGAAAAAACCAAGGCTCAGAGAGGTTTAAAAACTGGCCAGGGTTACCCAGCTTATAAGAGGTGGTGGCATTCAGACCCCAGTGCCCTTACTACATTTTACTGAGCACCACTAAGTGAGCCCTCAGACCTGGGGGCCGCAAGGAGCGTGGTCACCCAATCCCCGTGGCAGCTCCTCAGCCTCTGGCTCCCTAGAGAAGCTCTAAACTGTACTTCGGCTTAATTCTTGCCAACTTGGAGGTGACATCCTCCTAGGGCCCAGCCCAGGGTGGCACTGCCACACCACACAAGGCAGCATTGTTCTACCCTGTGCAGCCCCGTGGGCTGGCGTGTCTGAACAGGCCTGCAGATGTCCTAAACCCTCCATTTCCTGCTTCTGTTTACCAAGCTCCTGCGTTCCCTGCTCCATCAGCGGTTTTGCCAGTCCTTTGCCCTGGTGGGGGAGCCCTCCTACTGTGTGTTTTGACAGTGCCCTGGCCCAGTGATGGCGAACCTTTTGAGCTCGGCGTGTCAGCATTTTGAAAAACCCTAACTTAACTCTGGTGCCGTGTCACATATAGAAATTTTTTGATATTTGCAACCATAGTAAAACAAAGGTTTATATTTTTTTATATGTATTTTATATATTTAAATGCCATTTAACAAAGAAAAATCAACCAAAAAAATGAGTTCGCGTGTCATAGGTTCGCCATCACTGCCCTAGCCTGTTCCTGAACCGAAACAAATGCCAACCTAGGCCGGGGCTAGCAGTGCTAGTAGAGGGCCTTATGCAGAACCCGCTGACCCCCACCACCTGGTGACCAAAGACCCCAAAGCTGCATCTCTGAAACTGTCCCCAGCCGAGCAGGCCTGGCCAGGATGTTGGTTCCATGTGGGAAATGTCAGTCTCCGCTGGTAACCGGGGCAGCAGAGGTGGGTGTGAGTCTGTGGGCTCCATTAACCTCATTCTGGCACGGGGTCGGCCCTTCCTTGCCTTTGACCCATCATCTCTGTTCATGTGAAGGTCAACCAAAACCCCTTGTCAGGAGGCCCCCTAAAGGGCAGCTGGCCACTGGGCTCAGGGTCCTGCAGCTTCGAGGCCGAGACAGGATGCTGCCCGAAGGCTGCAGGATGCCTGCCCTGCCCAAGCTTCCTTTTCCGGAGCCCATCCTTGTCACCAGGGATGCTAGTGGGCGGAGCTGGACAGGGAGCAGACAGGGGAGGGGCGGCTCACTCAGCGGCCCCGTGGCACTAGCTGACCCACCGGGCCCTGCATTCTATGGCTGCAGGGGGACGAGCTGCAGGTCAGAGGCACCTGCCTCAGCAGGTATAGACTCCAGAGGCTCAAACACAACCTCTCTGAGCATAGAGACAGATGGAGGGCCAAGGAGGGGCCCAAAGTCAGGAGACAGGGTCAGAATGCGGTCATGAGCCAAAACCGAACCTGGATGGGAGCAGACCTCCAGTTCCAACTGCCAGTTTTTAGAAACGCAGGGGGCAGAGGTGCGGGCTAAACACCAGCACACAGAGCAATCCGTAAAATGCAGACTGTGGGGGCGCTTCCAGGCAAGCAACCCAGTGTTCTCAATTTTAAAAAACAGTAAGAAAGAAAAACAGCCCTAACTGGTTTGGCTCAGTGGATAGAGCATCGGCCTGCGGACTCAAGGGTCCCGGGTTCGATTCCGGTCAAGGGCATGTACCTTGGTTGCGGGCACATCCCCAGTGGGGAGTGTGCAGGAGGCAGCTGATCGATGTTTCTCTCTCATCGATGTTTCTAACTCTCTATCCCTCTCCCTTCCTTTCTGTAAAAATTCAATAAGATATATTTAAAAAAAAAAAAAGAAAGAAAGAAAAGCAGAGAGATGGCAGGAGTATCTGCGTCTACGGTAAGAGAGACTTACAAACATATGGCCCAGTCGCAGTATATGCACTTTGTTTGGATCCTGATTCAAACAAACAAGTAAAAATATAAATATATCAGAAAAATGACATCACTGAACAAAATCTGATGCCTGAAGGAGAGGTCAAGGATGGACTGTGAGTGCCAGTAGGAGTAACGACGTCTGCACCCCACACCCTCCCTCCTCCAGGAGAGCTTCGCCCCCACCACCTGGCCCCCCTCCCGGCCTCTAGGAGCCTTGGCCACCTGACTCAGTCTGTGCAATGCTGGCCTCCTCCTCCTTCCCACTGGGCCCCCTGCAACCCCCACCCCCCGCAACAGATGCCAGTAGTTCTTCAGCACCTCCAGGGAAAGCAGCCCAGGGCCAGAGAGGTGACACCTTGCAGCCCCTTAGGAAGACCCCTGTCCCCACCTGCTTCTACACACCCCTGAGCATTCAGGCCAGGACTGTCAGGTGTGACAGAAAGAGCCAGTCTGGGGCTAGAAGGACAGTGGCTTCCGCTCCTGTCTCTGCCCCTTTAAGGGAGCTTAGCAAGAGCCGCAAAGTGCATTCCCAGTGTCCCCGTAACCTCTGTGCTGGGCTTCTTTCCTGTCTGTGATCTGGGCTCACACTCCTGCAGGCCGGGTGAGGATGGGGTGCGAGCTGCCCGGAGGGCACTCAGCACACGGCTGGGCCTGGGTGAGCCCCCGGGAAAATGGGAGGCTTTACCACTTTGGGTCTCTGAGGACGGAGGCGGGCATTTCCTGAGCAGAGAGGATCCTACAGGATAGGGAGAAGAGGGAAATATTGAGGTTGAATCCCATTGTCATTGTTGCCAGGCAAGCCCCTCAGCTGGATGGGGAGGGGCCAGCCCGTTTCAGGTGACCCTGATGTCACCTGGCCTCAGGTGGGGATTGTCAGTCTCTAGGCCCACTCCTGCCCTCATCATTCTAGGGTTTCTATTCCAACATTTATCGACAAACTGAGATGCTCGCTTACCAGATGTGTAGGCCTGGAGCTGAAATGGTTCTGCCAGACCCTCAGGGAGCTCCCCATCTAGGGGGGAGGGGACGCGGGGGGGGGGGGCTAAGCTGCACACCATTGAGCCACAATGGTGCAACATGAGCAGAGCGAACAGCTCCCCCAGGCCCAAATGTCCTGGGCCGCTTCCCCATCGGCCAGGAGGAAGGTGTGCACCCTGGGGTGGGCCACAGTGCAGAGAGCGGGGAAAGTGAAGGAGAATAAGGCTGTAGGGGAGGCCTGGAGCCAGGAGTCCTCCCTGTGCCCCTCTCCTCTGCGAAGCGAGGAAGGCCCAGGGTGGGCAAGTGGGGGGCGAGCTGCTTCCCCAGAGTGCAAGCTGGGAGGCATTCATGCTTCGATGGTCTCTCCAGGAAGACAGATAGCCTCCCCTCCCCTCACCTTGGAGATAAAGGGACTATGGGGTGTCCCCCACCAGCCCTGAACCCCCACGTCTGTGCCGCCAGGAGCTGAAGGACCTGACAGCCCAAGTGAAGGACCTGTCAGTGACCGTGGGCATGGACAGACGCTGCCACATCGACCTGAGCGGCATCGTGGAGGAGGTGAAGGCCCAGTACGATGCCATCGCGGCTCGCAGCCAGGAGGAGGCTGAGGCGTACTCCCGGAGGCAGGTTCGTGGCGGACCGCAGGGTGGGAGAGGCCGCCGGGGCAACAGGGGCTGCACTAGTGATGGCTGAGGCTCCTTCAGGTGTGTGCTGAGATCCGGGGGCGGGGGGGGGGGTGGTGAGGGGGACGCACAGGGGCAGAGGCCACAGCAGCCAGGTCCCAGGCAGGCATGGAGAATTAGAGAGCTCGGCGTTGTGCTGGGCCCTGAGGGTGATGTGGGCCAAGGGAGCCCACAGTCTGTTCCCCCCAGAAGCTCAGGGTGGTGCTGCCCCCAGCAATGCCAGGCCAGGTATGGGCACAGCTTGTGCAGCTCAGTCTAGGGCAGCCAGCAGGAGGACGTGGTGGGCAGGACAGGGCGTAGGAGCGAGGAGGCTGGGGTGAGAGGAAAAGGAGCAGCAAGGAGTGAGAAGCAGGGTGCTGGGGGAGGGGGACAGTGAGCAGATCTTGCCCACCACCCCCTCTCCGCCCTCCAGCTGGAGGAGCGGGCCGCCTGCTCAGCCGAGTTTGGGAACAGCCTCCAGAGCAGCCGCAGCGAGATTGCTGACCTCAATGTGCGCATCCAGAAGCTCCGATCCCAGATCCTCTCCGTCAAGAGCCACGTGAGTCTGGAGGACCCCCTGGGGGTAGGAGCAGGGAGGAACACAGGGACACATGTTCTCTCCCCCTCTCTCTTTCTCTTCCTCTTTCTCCCATCCCCCCCGCCCCTTGCTCACACACATATACACACAGACGCTCACTCATGCATGCTGAGTACATGCAAGAGGAAGTGGCCTAGGTGGCCTGCAGGTCACTTAGCGCCTCTGTGCCTCCGTTCCCTCCCCTGCTCTACGAGATGGCCGTGAGGATCACATGATCTCTGCCTGGGAGAGGGCTCTGTGGACTGGCCAGGGCTGCTGGACTGTTAGAGAGCCCCCGCCACACACGCCCAGAGCCTGCCACCTCCCGCCAGCCACGCAGAGAAGGGACTGGTGGGCCTTCAAAGAAGGGCGGCTGGGACAGGTGGCCTCTTTGGTGGCCTCCGGACAGTGTCTCCTTAGGTCTCTCTGAGCTCCCTGATGCTGCAGTGCAACCCATTACCACACCCGGGAACGGACTGCTTAGCCCTCCCTCCCCACACGCACCCGTGAGGTCGGCTCCTGGCCCCGGCCCACTCTCTCCCTCTCAGCCCTGCTCGCTGACCCCTCCCCTCTGTCCTCCCGGCTGCAGTGCCTGAAACTGGAGGAGAACATCAAGGAGGCCGAGGAGCAGGGTGAGCTGGCCTTCCAGGATGCCAAGGCCAAGCTGGCCCAGCTGGAGGAGGCCCTGCAGCAGGCCAAGAAGGACATGGCGCGGCAGCTACGAGAGTACCAGGAGCTCATGAACACGAAGCTGGCCCTGGACATTGAGATCGCCACCTACCGCAAGCTGGTGGAGGGCGAGGAGAGCAGGTGAGGGGTGGGGACAGCGGGGTGGGGCTGAGGGAGAGGGAGAACTAGAGAACCAGCGCCTCACAAAGCCAGCCTCCCCCTCCAGCGCGATCCTGTGAGCCTGGCAGGCCTGGGTTCATGTCCTGGCTCAGCCACTTACAAATTGAGACGTTGGCCCGGCTTCTTAAAGTCTCAGTTTTCCCATCTGGCAAATGGGCTGATCATAAACATGCTCCACCTGTGGTGAGGAGGATTGGTGATTCTGCATGCAAATGCCCGTCACAAATAAGCGCTCAGTAGAAGTTAGCCATTTATAGAAGGGAGAGGGGACAGAGGCCCAGAGAGGACATGCTGGTGAGCCAGGGTCACACAGCAGGGCAGCCCAGGGCTGGGGATGACAACCAAGAATTGCCCTCTACCTGCCTGTCCCCAGGCCCCAATCCCAGAGGAACATAAGCCACAGGCTCCCTTCACATCCCTCCCCTCCCTTCCTTCCCAGGATGGACTTGCCTCCGGCCGCTGTGGTCAGCACTGTGCAATCCAGACCCAGGACTGGTGAGTCTATTTGCCCCACAGAGGAGAGGGGGACAGGGTGTGGGGGTCATGACCCCAAAGGCATCATTTTAAGTGGCTCCCACACCTCCAGCCCCTTCCCTCCCCCACCCCTTCTGTTCCCTGTAGCTGCCTCCAAGTCCCACCTGGCCAGAGCCCCCTTCCGGAAGAAGAAGAACAGCAGAGGCCCCGTGATCAAAATCACCGAGATGTCAGAGAAGTTCCTCCTGCAGGAGTCAGAGGCCTCCGAGTGAGGCAGCTGGACACCGGGAGCCCCAAGTCACCCTGCAGCAGGAGAGACTGGAGCCAGACTCAAGGAAGCTCTTCAGAGCCTCTAGGTTGCAAGGGGAGGCAAACCTGATTCTGAACTGAGAAGAGCTCAAACAATGAGTGTTGGGACTGCCCACCAGCTTTTCAAAGTCACTCCACTCGGCATCAGCATCTCACAATCCACCTTTCCAACCTCTGGCCAGCGGCTTCCTGACGGGGTAAACGGGAAGTGGGGTCAGTTTTATCTCCACCTCCTCGCTCCTCTGAGACTCCTCCCCAACAGAGGGCTCTGAGCAGGTCCCTTTGACCCTTTTGCCCAACCCTTGCCCTAAACTCACATCTCAAGCCTCGCCTCGCCTCGCCTCGCCTCAATCTCTGTGCAAGGCTGGTGCCCTCATTCACCCAGACCCAGCCATGGACCAGGGACAGTGAGGATTGCTTATCCCCCTCCCAGTATCCGGAGTTTGGGGGGGGTGGGTGCCCTGGCTTTCCTGCACCACCTGGGCTCCCCAGGGATCTGACAGTATTAGGGAGTGAGGGAAGCAGGCTCCCTGGGCGTTTGGGACCTGAGCCTGGACCTCTGCGATCAGCCCAGACCCCTGTGCCCTCCCTCCTCCTGCGGGATCCTCCCAGCAGGTCACACAGAAATGGACAGGCTGCCCAAGCAGCTCCCGGCACCTTCTCCAGAAGCTATTCTTGCCATGATGAACTCCCTGGGTGGGGAGGCTGGACGGCAGCCTGGGCCCAGGCGGCAGAATCCGGTCCTCCCTTCCCCTCCCTGCATCCTGGGGTTCGCCACCCTGCCTGGGACCTCAGCTCTCCACCCCTCCCCGGCCTCCCTACCCTGCATAGGTGTTTCCCAGCCTGAAACCTGGCTTTGGTGTACCAGCTCCCAGCCCCACCCCTGCCATGAAACCCTAGGTCCATTTCCCATGGATCCCTTCTCAGCGTCTCTGTTCTCCCCATCAAGCCAAACAGCCTGGCCCTGCCCTCCTCTGCACTCATTGAGGAGCCCAGGGACACCCCATCCCTGTGGGGTCAGAGCTCCTCCTTTTCTTCCCCCTCTGCCCTCCGCCCTCCATGTCCATTCCCTTGACTCCGGTGGGGCCATGACGAAGGCGCAGTCAAGGAAGGTCTGGGACCTTCTGAGCTCCTGTGGTCAGACAGTCGGGCTGGGGAGCCCCAGTGACAACCAAAGAGAAATTCTGCGTCCAACAAGATGTGGGGCCCCTCTTTCTTCCTCTTGGCTTTTATCTTTGTAGATTGCAGGGGATCTTGGCAGTTTTAGCCGTCCACTCCTCTCTCTCTCCCGACCTTCTCCCTGCATGACCATAGGCTCCCCTCCTCATCTAGCC